AGAGAGAGAGAGAGAGAGAGAGAGAGAGAGAGAGAGAGAGAGAGAGAGAGAGAGAGAGAATGCCCCACCAGCATGCACCTGCATCGCCGCGCCCTACTTCGGATTTCAGATGAACTACAATACAACAAACAACCTTAATGTTTCATCAACACTCACCTCGTGATATTGGGAGATATCCTAGCTTCTGTCTCAGATCACCCTCGCCGGAGAGAGACAAACACAGGCATCATCGATGCTGGATGTCATGAGGCGCTCTCCGCATCCCGTGTGATACATCCCCCGTGGATGCTGCTGCCGCGTGACCACGTGTGGTTCTCCTCAGCCTCCGACTCCCCCGCGCATGCGCACACCGTCGTTAATCGCGGGTATTATGCGTACACGCTGCTGCTAACGCGTGTTTGGTAATATGCTGCTTATACTTTCTTTGTTCATGGTTCTGGAGTACATGCGCTCGTGTGCATGGAAATGCTACCTGTCAGGTACTAATGAGATAATCACGCTTTAGGTATGGTTAATACGTTTATCATTGTTGCCATGATGGACGAACAGAGAGTATAATTAAATAATATTAATTTAATGATTAATAAATGTTAATTATGAATAATATAATTAACATTCAAGTATCTCGAGTTTCCGAGGAGAATGGTGTGAGCAGGATTTTAATTTTTTAATCAGTCTGTGTCCGATCCTAGGACACAGCCGATTTTAATTTTTTTAAATCTTAAATTAATAAAAAAAAAGTAACATTAATTATTACTTTGAATTAATGTGAATCTTTAAATAGTTGCCTACTATATGTAGTAGTGGTTAATGAAATACCCATGAATAGCAGCAGTGACTGACGATTCGCGCACTATCAGGTCTATCACCAAGTGTTTCTCTCTCTGCAGTGGACGAGTCCTTGCGTTGTCTGTGGCCACATGGGTGCGAGCATTATATATATCAAGAGCTAATAATACATATGATTAATTACGGTATCATTAGCTCTTGATATAATCAGTAACCGTGCCGTAATTTTGCTGTATCGTACGTAAGACTCGCTCATGCGGTCCAACCCATGCCCTGGTTTACGCTTATTTCTTTCCTTTCTCTTCCGCCCACCTATACTTCCTTCCGCTCATGCTTCAATCCATCTTCATGCTTCCGCCGCTCTCGCAGACGATCCTCATTTTCCCGCCAAAACGTGTAAACGTGATAGGATAAACGGATACGCTTCTACAGGCACATACAATCGGTATATACTCTATACTTCTATAACATACAATCGGTACTATATACTTTTATAACATACAATCGATAGTATCGGTACTATATTATACTTCTATAACATACAATCGGTACTATATACTTTTATAACATACAATCTAATACTTCTAACACACTTCTAACTTCTAATGCTACCCAAGCTTCTAACTTCAACCCTAACATACTTCTATGACATCGGTACAGCAACGTTGCCTTCGAACGTAGCAACTAAACGAAGCAACACTCTCTTTATGCTCGATACTGAGCTGCAGTAACTCGAACGACGGAGAGTGAGAATGAAAAATTGATTAGCACGTATAGGTGCGTATATATTATATATATATATATATATACACACATACACGCACGCACGCACGCACGCACGCACGCACGCACGCACGCAACGCACACATGCACACACACACACACACACACACACACACGCACACACGCACGCACGCACGCACGCACGCACGCACGCACGCACGCCCGCACGCAACACACACACACACACACACAACACCACACACATACATTATATATATATATACATGTATAAATATCGGCCTATCGGCAGCTAGGTAACCGCGGAGAAGTAAAGCTACGCACTCGGCTGCGCCTCAGTGAAAGTGCATCAACCCCGGAGTTTCGACCGGAGCTGCGAGCGTCTGTCAGTGCCGTACATGCAGGCGGCAGCGCGCCGCGCTTATATATTCAGTCGCCATCTGTATAACCTCATTAGCTATGCATGCGCGCCGTAACCGGAACAAAGAACTGCGATTTAGCATCGAGAGAAGGGGGGGAACCTCTAGAATAGTAATTATATAATACAATAATATTATATATATATATATATATATATATGATATATATATATATAATATCAGGAGTGAATAAGAATATATATAGATTATTATTATTCACTCCTGATAATATAATAACCATTGTATTCTAACCCCACTATTCGTGGTTAGAACTCGACACTTTTCGATGTATTAACTCGGCAGTGTTCGACGCGGAGATGCGCTTTCAATATAGTCGCGTGTGTCGAACGTACGGCGATATTTCGAATTATGAATGTGACTCGCGATGCCGGGTGGTGACGCGAGCGCGAAAGATGCGCCCGCGACCCTCCCCCCCCCATCACCAGCGAAATGCGTCCGCCCGCCCGCCGCTACTGACGTCACGCAAGCGCACGCGGCAGCAGATGTGAAAGTCGTATTTAGAGGCACATATTGGACGAGGGGACGTACGAAGGACATTGACCCTACACTGGTCGCACGCCAGCACACTCACCTCACACAATGTGATGTCCTCTCGTAGTTATTCGTGTACCTGCTTGCATGTCATCGATCCACATCACAGGTGAAATCGGCAGCAGTGATGCGCACTCACTAGTTAACCTCGTAACCTCGGAGGTAAATTATCTTCAAAGTCCAATTAAGGGACTATATCGAAGACGGAGAGACAAGTTGAGAGTAATGGCTATGAACGACAGAACGATTGCTTCAGCTATCACGAGTGTAGTGAACCCAGTCTAAACTCTTCATACTTAATGAGGCCATTAATTGATATCCAGCTTAAAAAATGTACCAAACCGGTTTAAACCGTTCCATACTGCAATCTACAAAAGACCCTATATACTAAAGTATATAGTATATACTATAAATATATATTATATAGTATAAAGTATATACTAAAGTATATAGGGTCGTCTTTGAATCTACTCTGCAATGATGGACAATGGAGAACAAGGCAAATAATGGAGTTAGCCTTCGGGGTGGGGCAGTGGGACAGGAAAACTCACTATATTTTTTCCAAAAAAAATATTAACAATAACTGTAAATTGACATGAAATAAATGTAGGTTTCATTATTGCAGATAATTGAACAAACTTATATTAATTACCATCTCAGAAAAAATCGCATACTTCACGATTTATTTCTTGAAATCATTAATTGACATTTTTATGCAGGAAGGGGGAAAGCCTGCAATATGCCAAGACGTTTGTGAAATGAACCTAATAATGATGTCAAAATGTCCCGAGCACATGTGAAGCAAACAATAAAGAAAACGTTTAAAAAACAACTATGCAGAAACAAAAAGAAATCATTTCATGCAAAAGAATCAAGTAAATTATTTATTTATTATTATAGACATTGCAAATACAAAATATACTATGTGTGGAAGACTGTCTTAATTCATGTAATAGTAAAGAGTAAAGAATTCTTTATACATTCTCACACCTATGGAACGTTATGGAATGAGAAGAAATACCTATTTCACATTCACAACAAAAGGAAACGTGTACCCAACACTTGCTGAATGCTAAACCGGTATCAAAAATACTATTCGTGTGACCTTGATATCAAAAATACTGTTTTGATATAGAAAACCACATACAATCCCCCACCTAGATCCCTGTATATACAGTCAGTGATCGCCAGCAAAATGGAAACGTCACAAGCCGATTAATACGGACTTGAAAACTTTAGCTTTCATTGATAACATGGTAATAAGCACGAGTCATCTCATCTTCTCTACCCAACCAGTTCGCTCTCAGATCCGCTGCATGTAATTATGTATAAAGGTACACGAAGCAGGACCCATTCCAACAAGAACACAGGCCAGTTCTGACAACACTACAACATCCTGGGAGCTGATTTGATACACACGGATGCATATATACACACAATCTACATGCAGCCCTGACACGCAGCAGTAACCCTCTAGGGGTAGGAACGACCCTACCCCTAAAACACACACGCTTGCATAGATCCTGAGAGCTAGTCCTCAATGACGTAGTTGGGATGAACAACTAAAATGGGGTCCTCCTCCGCGTGGCTATCTCCCTCCTCACCTCTTCTTGGCCTCAGTCCGGGGGTCGCAAGCTGTATGACAACTTGGTCCTGGAGAGAGGAAGAAGATGACACAGTGTTATAAATAGCGCAGAGCAGTGGCCGACTATCGCATAAAATACATGATGCAGCTAGACAGTGCTCATCAGACACTGGCTACTGTTGCTAATCCTGCAATGTTAACTACGCGTCTGGTACAGTTTTGCTCGATTTACGCGATTAACTCAATTTGAATTAAACTTTTTGTTATTAAATTAAATTAAAATTTATTTTAATTCTCGGATTATTCACTCGATTTTAACGGAAGCTGTGTAATTCTCGGTTTATTTGGTATATTAACTTGTTCAACTCCAATGAAATGCAGCCATAAGTAGTACTCCTGTGAGGACATTGGGAAAAGGAGGTTACCGGCAACATATATAATTATATATATATATATAATATACTCACATGATGAATCAGCCGCTCTAGAACTTTATCGACCAATAGCTTCTTTTCGATAAGTTCCGCTTCGCTGTCTATGTCGCCTGAGATCTCGTTAAGGTACCAGTTGACGAGGTCGGCCCGCCTTGTGCCAACGACCTCACTATCCTCCGAATCTGTCAGATAAACAATTACAGGATGCAGTTAGAACCTATCTCACTGAAAAACACTAACGCTTCAACTGTTGAGAAATGTGTTGCAAAAAACTGTTCCCATGAGAAAAACTGTCCTCTGGGAAAAAATTCCACAGAAACTGGTGTAGAATATAAATCCTACGTTGCCGCCTACCTTCTGCCAGCTCCTCTTCGTGTCTCATGTGCAATATCAGTAGGTTGGAGATCTGCTTGTACTGGTCATATGTGATCTTCAGTCCTTTCTTAGCAGCTGCTTCCGCGCCCGGCTCGTCATTCCTGTCCGCTGCGTCTGCTTCCATCGGCACTGGTCCACCGTCGCCATGCTCTGAAACAAGTTCACGCGTTCATAAGTCTTCATAAAGTTATTTAGATCATCGATTGGAGAGCTTGAATCACCAATCTGCAAACAAATCGCACAAATGAGAGCTACGACGCACACGACATCGAAACATCGAAACGCGACAAGAAATACTTTACTTGCATTAATTTAATAAATTCAATACACATCACCACACATTTCAACAGCGAAACCCAGCGACGAAACAACCACATCGGAATGTGTACGTGGCTAGGGGATGCCTCGTTACAGCGACTGCCGCCGCCGCGCGCGTACGAACCGTTGGGGCCGGCGGGGGCGTCTCCGGCCGCGTCCATCTCCGGTTCGTCGTCGTCCAGGTGAATGTCCGGCTGCTCAACGCGGATGATGGACTTGTTCAGGAGTCTGAAGGCCTCCTTCACGTGCTTGGGACTCACCTGTGTCTCGCAGCAGCATCAAAACACGTTGTTAATTTGTATCTCTCTTACGTAACTACATGAATTAGTGTAGATATATCTTTATCTTGCATCACTCTTACTCCAATAAATTAGAGGACCCAGATATGTGAAACTCAACCTCCACGTTTATTCCCCAAATCAAGAGTCTTCACCCAGCAAAACGATACATGAAAACAATAGAATACTACACACGTTAGAGGGGCTGGTTAATTGGTTCGGTTACCTTATCGCGAACCAAGACAGACAGATAGAACATAGAATACAGACAGATAGACAGAACGTGGAATACAAACAGACAGACAGAACATAGAATACAGACAGATAGACAGAACATATAGAATACAAACAGACAGACAGAACATAGAATACAGACAGATAGACAGAACATATAGAATACAAACAGACAGACAGAACATAGAATACAGACCGACAGAAGATAGAATACAGACTGACAGAAGATAGAATACAGACAGACAGACATAACATAGAATACAGACAGACAGACAGAAGATAGACAGGCAGGCTGCTACTGGATCTCAGGTCTGATGATACAAGAGCCACATTATCACAAACATTTTTCCTCACAGACCGTTGACAGAAACGCGGCAGAGTCACGAGTCTCTGCGTCTGTCGTCGTCTGTGTCGCCACTCACCTCGTCCTGGCAGTGCATCCGCGCCATCGCCTCCGCGAGCCGTATCATGCTCTCCAGCTGCCGCACCGTGATTCGCCACGACGACCGCGCCGTGCCGCCACCGTCGCGCTGCCGCAGGTGCCGGTACTGGTCAACAAGGAATTCCTCGGAATCCTTGCTGATCTGCGTAACGAATCGAGAACAGATGAAATTCGCCTCTCACGTTGCTATATCCGTTACCAAAGTAAACAATATATTACTAATAATATTTCTTATCTATATATATAAAGTTGTAGACTTTGTCTGTCTGCACTCGTATTAACTAGAGAACTACGCAGCCTAGAGGAAAACTGAAGATATATACAGAATCAGCATGTCTGGGAGATGGTTCTGGATAAAAAAAAAATGGGAAAAAGTTCTTTTGGACGTCTCAATGATACTCTCAGCGGTCGAATGGATAAGGCATCGGTCTCCTAAACCGCTGAAACCGCTAAACCGCTGAACCCAAAAAAAATACATAGATAGATAGATAGATAATTTTTTGGTTATTTCTTTCAACCAAGTGGTCACCAACTGAGCGCTTCATTTCCCGGGCAACGCTGGGTGTCCTGCTAGTTAATTATAATTTAACATTATACATTTATAATACCTAATAATTAATATAAACAAATAAATAAATATAGGTGCATTCTTCTTGAAGATTTAATGCTTCTGAGCATAATTTGACGGATTTCGGTGGAAAAACTTTATTTTAGTAGATGTTTTGTCGCCGTACCTTCGGTTTAAACTGTCTCGCAAACATGATGTATCGCTGAATGTCGTCGACGGAATAAACACGCTCCACTATGTCCTCCTCCATCATGCTGTGAAGGTCAATGATGCGTCTCGCAATAGCATAGTCCACCACCTGAAACGTAACAACCGTAAACAAACTCGCACCACGTTACATCACACGCAACCAAGTCACCATCTTAAACATGCCTCGTAGTATTCAAACTCAACGATCTCCAAACCGCTCGTCAAACTAAGCAGATGGTTATTTACTGATAGCTTACTGTCAACCGTATACCACATGCAATCAAATTTCCATCATTTACCTGAATATTTCATTCCATAGTATTGCTATACATAGTCCACCAACAGAAAAGCACCTTCTAGCGAACAAACTCAAAAGACTGCAACCTGACCACCTAGTAAACCACGTGATCATTCACATGCTTCAACAATAACACAAACCAAGGTGTGAAAAACACACGACATCTATCGATGGCGAAATTTTTTCGTTCAACGCGTCGGCGTAAATACCTCGTTGCATTCGTCAACAAGAATGAAGAACAGATCGAATCGCGACATGATGGGTGGCGATAGTTCGATGTTCTGCATGAGCGACTTTGAGCGATCGTAGCGCCCTCCGATGGGATTAGCTGCTGCCAGTATCGACGTACGCGCATTCAGTGTGGCCTGCCATGAGGAAAATTGAAACCACCATTTGAGACAATTTTTCTAATCTCGATTAAAATAATAACTGTAGTCAACGGAGACCTATTTACGAGCGAGAACAGATTACGTACACAATAGAGAAAATACACATTGCCAGTCATGCAAATAGATAAACTCCTCAGCAATGTACGCAGGACAAAATAGACATGTTTATTGTTTAATACAATAATTTATTCTTTTGTTTACGATATAACGTTCACACCGGCTCATCCATACATTCTACTACTACTCACCTTAACTCCGGCCTTGGTGATTGAGATCGTTTGTTGTTCCATGGCCTCGTGAATAGCGACCTGATCTTTGATGTCCATCTTATCAAATTCATCAATGCAACAGACTCCCTTTACGAGAACAAAAGTTGGCAATTAACTTACTGACATGGTTCATTTTGATATATGTATATTACAGGGTTTTTTATACATAAGAGGCACAGTGGCGCACCGCCGTTGTCAAATTTAACAACGCCGTTATGAAAATGTTCCTGTATTTACTGATAAGCATATCCTGTATCTATATACCTATAAGTATATCAATACATCCTGTATTAATTTGAATCCATCATGCGCATTTTTTTCCCAAACTGGCCATTATACCTCCTTTGTCTAATTTCCCCTCATAAGAAACCCTGTAGTATATATCATGTATATAGTAGTATGATAGTAGATATAGGTAGTGCAATACTTGATTAGATTAAACATGACTACATCCATTACCTCACCCATGCAATGACACTGATGAGTGTTTTAGCGAGTGAAGCATTAAGAGAGGTTCCGCCATCCGTCCCAATTAATCTATGCCACCCCTCAGGTCAACTCAGATGCTATCATCCGTTACTCTCTCACGCGGGAGCTAGACACAGACTATAAGTTATCGCACTACTGTTACCTACGTTACGCACGCTTACTTACTCACTTATGCTGTTACTTACGCACTAAGTTATCGCCTACTGAAACTCGCTCGCGCGGGAGCTTGACACTTACGTTATCAGCAAGCATGAGGGCCCCAGCTTCTATTACAAACTCGTGCGATTCCTCGTCGCGGACGACGGCAGCGGTGAGGCCGGCGGCCGTGCTTGCCTTGCCGCTCGTGTAGACGGCTCGTGGGCTGAACTCCTCCACCTGCACGCACACGGACTCGTCAAGAACACAGGTACGCACCACACAGACTCGTCACAAACACAGGTACGCTCCATACACTCGTTACAAGCACAGGTACGCTCCATACACTCGTCAAGAACACAGGTACGCTCCATACACTCGTCACAAACACAGGTACGCTCCATACACTCGTCAAGAACACAGGTACGCTCCATACACTCGTCAAGAACACAGGTACGCTCCATACACTCGTCACAAACACAGGTACGCTCCATACACTCGTCAAGAACACAGGTAAACACCACACAGACTCGTCACAAACACAGGTACGCACGAACACAGGTAACCTGATATCTCGTGTGACAGCTATGTGTTAGATACTCATACGTGGTAAGACAAACACAAGTATTTTAAGGCTAAAAAAACATGACATTGGAAGGCAATTTGAAGATGACGCAGCGAGTCGGTTCCTTTACATCCAACGTAGTAGACAATCTGAGGGCCTATATATTATTGCACATAACTTATTAGCGCTAAGCCATAACAACCTGGCCAGCAAGCAGTGCGGGGGTACCACGACCGATTCGATAGACGAGGGTGGATGAACACTAATCAGTTTAATTACCATGGTTCATACAGGAGGACTGAAAAATGTTTCAAGGACTATTCAAAGACTTTTCAAGGATATTTTATCGGAAATTCAAGGACATTTTATCGGAATTCATACACAGAATAAAACATACCTGGATTAATTTAATAATAACCCCATTCTTAATCACTGTCACCTCTAAAACTTACCTAGATCACATTAATAAACACTTCTAAACAGTGTCACTTCTACAACATACCTTGATTTACTGACTGATTTTACTGACTTACTGTAATTTGTGATCATCATTTAACTGTCTATCGTGTCTATAGCTTTTTAAGCTCATTTAACGCAATTTTTATTGAGGTTTGCACTTTATTGATGGTACAAAATTTCTTTTTATTACAGGCAAAGATTCTTTCTAAAAATTCAAGGACATTTTCATGAAATTCAAGAACTTTGCAAGCACAAAATCAACATTTACTAAATTCAAGTACTTTTCAAGGACTCCCCTCAAATTCAAAGACTTTTCAAGGACTGTGCGAACCATGATTACGATCCGATACCTGTTTCAACAGCTGACTCTTAGCAGTGCTAGGATCGCCAACAATGCAGACGTTGATGTCGCCACGTAGTGCCGTTCCCTCCATTGTTTTCTTAGGAACTCCCCCGAACAACATGAGCATGACACCTCTCTTCACCTCATCGTTTCCTACAGAAGAAATTCAGCACGAGTGTTTCTCATAATACAATTCTACTATAGTTGCTCCCTGCC